AACACAGATACTGTCTACTTGCAGATTAAAAAAGTGATTTCTGCCATTTCCATGTTCTAATGTCTTTACAGGGTTGTGAATCCAAAAGACTCTTTTGTCGGGCTCAACTTATCTTTGGGTCAACCAGAGGGAGTTACTTCAGACTGACAGTAATGTAACCAAAACCAGATTTTAGCATTAAGAAAGCAAATTTAGATTTTGTTGTGATTGTATAAAGTCTTGCCAATATATTTATATGAGCAAAGCCCTCCTTCAGACTTCCAATTTATACTGGCAAAAGTACTCCACATCGACAGGAGATACTTTGGTTAGATAGATTGCATTTCTATGGAGAAAACGAGAGAGCTTGCTAGCACAGCTATGTTATTTGAGAGTGTGATATGTTTAACACGCCTGATTCACATACACGTGAATGCAGAATGGGGCAGCACAGATCTGGGCACACTCACTTATGAACTCCAGTGAGGTAATCTCACTAGAGCACTCCTGTTAATTTCAAGAATTCCTAATTCACAAATCAGAACTTAAAAAAATAAGTCAAAATTACGAGTTTTAAAATAGGAATCTTAGGGTTTTTTTCTTGTATGTCTGGATTTTAAGGTTCATGTTTTCACAGCATCTTCCTCAATTCAGAGTGCATATGTCCTTTTAAAGCGACAAGAACCTGAGATTCATATTCAGTAACATATATGCACTGGTCCTCAACAGAAATACCAAAACACAGAACGAAATCTCAAGGTGTAACAAACTTGCCAGATACACAGTTTAAATCAACGAAGGACGCTTCATTCCAAGTCCAGAAATTTTACTGAAGGCTGTAATAATATTGTGGTCCCAGTACCAACATCTTCCCACAGGCAAAGCTCTAATGGAGCCAAACCCTCCCATGGAGCTTCAAACTTCCCCTAGAAGTCCTGAACTCCCAACTCCCATGGCCAAGGTGCGTTCGCTACCCAGGGTAAGCATCTTTGAAACACTCTCTAATATCTAAAGCTGCTTCACCAGCAACTGTTAAGTCAATGTAAAACCAGTCATACCAGTTAGCAGCCATAGCTCTAATCACCAACGAATTAAATAAAAGGCAGACACCACCAGTCCACATATTAATAGAAAGCAGCTTTGCTATTTGCTGAGAATACTGTCAATGTGTTTTTGGTAAGCCCCGAGCACGTCTGTGAGATTCCTTGGGGAATTCTGGTTGAGGAACATCCCTCCATGCTCCAGCAGGCTATAAGCTGAACAAGATGGGCCAAGGAGCTTGCCTGGGAGATGACTGCAGATGCAGCAGCTGAGTGGATGTCCAAATGACTCAGAAGCAGCAAACCCACTGCAAAGAACAAGCAGAAGAAACATACAGGCACCAGTAGTGTAGCCAAGCCTGGATTTGTTCTGGCAGGCTGTTGGCTAGCTGCAGGCTCAGATTTCTGAAGAAGGGAACTGCCTCCTGTTGTCCCTGGGACTGTGCCCTCATTTGTTTTTAAATAAATTGGATGGCATGCAGTAAATATCTGGCTCCCACTAAGAAAATTATCTCACAAGACCCTAAATACCAATTATCTCTTTGGCCAAAAAGAACATGATTTGTTTATTTATTACTTGTTTACCTTGCTGTGGTAACTAGAAACATTGGGTCAAGATCCCATTGTGCCAGACAGCATTCAGATGCAGAACGCAACTTGCTTTTCTCTTTGTGGACTGATTTCCCCCACCAAACTGTATGGTAAATCATATCTGTGATGCACAATATGAGGGATGTAGCCTAGCCAGGGAGCATTTTTTCCTAGTTAGGAACAGGAGAACTCGGCACCAAAATATACTTCTAACTCGACAGGAAAACAACTTTTCAAAATCTACATACTTTTAACATTGCTCATTTGCTAAAAAACTCAGATTTTTTAATTAAAAATATCAATGGAAATACATTTTTCATTTGGCTTGGTGAGGGCATGAATAGTTTAGCATGATAAATGGACCACTACGCTGTGCACCTGAATGGCAACCCCTATAGCACGTCCTACCTCTACTGCAGCAGTTGTGCAGAGAACTGTTCACAAGAACTTTTTAGAATAAACTATGCCAAGATGTACACTGAAAGGGGAGACCTAAAAAAACCCCATGCCATATAAATTCTATGTCGAAGCACTGCCATTGATTTCCAATGAATGAAACCACCTGCAAATTTGAGGATAGTTGCTTATTTTTATCAGATCATAGCAACTGGCACGATGGTCTTAAAAACAGTGGACAGACCCTTCAGCCTGTAAAAAACTGGGAGAAAGATAGGAGAGGGAAGGAATGTACAGAAGAGTCAAAGAAATTCAGCATTTAATTTTTATGCCTTAATAATGAAGAAAGCAAGTATAGGATAGCTATCACTCAAGCAATAAAGATTAGATAATAATGATGTGGTGATGATAATGTCACAGTACTAAGAAAGAAATAAAGGGGATATGTGGAAAGATCCAAATACTTGATACTTTTACTTCCACATCAAAATCCCTGCTTCTGTCAAAAATCACCTAAATGTAAATATAATCAACTAGAAATCAGGTATACTTCTTTGTAATCATCAATGAAGCATCTGTGGATTAATTCACCTACTAAAAAAACCCAACAGTAACCATACAATACCTACAAACTACTTTTCAATGTGGGGTGCAAGAGTCTTAGTTCTGCACATAGTTATAGGAGTGTTTCTGGATGTCATATACGTACACATGCTGGACATAAAAATTACTCTGCAACATACTGTTTTCAGTTAAAGCTAATTTTAAAGTGCAAAGCCATTTTAAATGAGAAAAATATCAAAATGTTTGCAAGTAAATTAAACTCTTCTGGTTTCTTCTGAATAGAGTCAGTGTGAGAGAACGGAGTCGAAACAGTGAGCACTGTGAGCAAGAGCCTATCCTAAGGAACAAAACGCAGCCCACGCTTAACATTTACTTTCTTTAGAAAACTTAAATATGGCCACATATTTACATTTCGGTATTTGTTTAGAATTAAAGTCAAAATTTAATCCGTTTATGTCATTAAGCCCAGAAAAAAATTAAAAAGAGAAGCAATTTCAACAGAATATGTTTTTAAGGGTGTGGGAGGACATTTTATTGATGCTGTGAAATGTAACAAATTCCTTCCTTTTGGAGATGTTACATGGCAGCAGTGAAAGACTTGTAAAACACCATAAGCATCAACACTTAAGCATATGTTAGTTTAACAAAATTTGCAAGCTATTTTCATATTGTCTATAATTTTCTACAGTTATTAACATACTGTTAATTCATTCAGGATAGTCCTTTCAGTTAGTAAGGCTAGGCTTTAGCAGCAGCCATGATTTTCACAGGTTACATCTGCCTGCTTCATAGGTTTCATGGATTTGGCCCAGGGAAATAGTTATAACCCTTTTCTAGTTCTTACTCCAATCATGTTCCCTCCTTCCCCTCCTTCTTTGGGTAGAAGGCAAAGCTGGCAGGGGAGGGGACTCAGTCATCCCTCTAACAATAGAAAACTCCCAGAAATTAAAGAATCATCTCCTGGCCATTTCTGAGCACTTGATTCAGATCTAGCACAGTTAGAAGTGGTTTTTTGCTGTGCTTTTTTTTTTTTCCTACTGTCATTAAAATACATTTTTAATATTATTAACAGTCAAGATAATTAATATACTTAAAAACACCCCAAGAAAATATTTTCCTCTGGTATAAACAACAAGTTATTACAGTAAATTTGTTGTCCATCAGAATTATAACTCAGCTGTTTTCCATTTAAGTTTGTTCAGAGCTCCTATGGTCTCACAAGTTTCTATGTAGTTGTCCATTTTGTCTTTAATTTTTTAAAAATATTGGTCTTTCCCCTGAAGCCCTGGAGTCCTCTCCACTCAGGGAAAGGTAAAGATAGCCCTCTGCTTGTTTTTTAATTGAAAGGAAAGAATGAACCTTATGCCTTGACTGTTTCTCTTTAAAAAAAAAACCCACACACAAAATCCTCCAAACCTGGAGTACTATTTTTGCATGGTCTGCTATTTTATCCTTTGTTTTGTTCCTGGCACCAAGCTTTATTTGTTGGTACAAAGAAATCTTGTACCTCCAAGCTTGTAACTCAGAGGCAGGGAACGACAAACCATAAGCTTTAAGACGGCTTGATGATGGTTTGTTGCCGTACCTGTGCAGAAGAGTTATTCCAAAGCCACACATCACCTTTGTTCAGTGATCCTTCACATATAATAGCCCTCAAAAATTACAATGCTCATGAAAGATGGCAAGATAAATTATTACAAATAAGTATAATTAAATGAGTGAATATGTCCTATAATCATGATTAAACTTCCCTGCTAAGCTAATTTAAAAAAAAAAAAAAAGATCCTTGATGTCTTAAATACCACAATTATTTTTGTATACTGCAAGTCAAATAAAAAGCTAGGTGAGTCTCAGCTATTAGGCAACTGGCAATACTGACTTGTTCATGGTGGCACTACTTTGCTGAGATTTTGTATTCTTGAATTGGGCAACAAAGACCGTAGAAAATTTTAGCTATCTCTCTCATCCCTCCCCACTATGCAATTTTCTCATTTCCCCAACTATCAAGATTTTTTTCCTTCGATTTACTTCTTGGACCGGCTGTAGAATGCTTCTAGATATATTAAAAAGACAGCTGCATCCATTTTGAAGGGGCATCATAACACGCCATTTGTCAATCCACGTTTAACTGCTGCCCTAAGATTTCATGGCCTAAATATATAGGAAAATAGTAGTCAGGACAGTAATTTGAACAGAAATACAAGCACAGCATGCTCTTCATATTACACACACACTGATGTTTCATCTACTTAACCCACAGGCCATTCTGAAGGTAATAACACGCTACCTCAAGAGGCTAAGGTTTCATTACATGTTTAAGGACTAACAGGTGTGCCCCTATGGTTTGCCAAAATACTTTATGATGAACTGCAAAACTAATCCGTAAACTTGCTGCTCACCCCCTGGCTCGCACTGCACCTGGCTAGTGAAATGGCAATAGCAGAGTTTATGCCTGGTCATCCTTGTTCCACTGACGCAGACCTCAAAGCACCAATGCAGGTGGTTAATCTACACATCACTAGGAATAAAAAGTCTTATGACCTTGAAAGTGTGTAGGTTCCCTAAAAGTGCAAAAGCAAGCTCCTACTCCTTATCCCCCTACAGCAGTTCAGTAGAAACGACCAACAGCGTCAGAGTAGTTGTGCTGAGACATGGATTAAGGTCAGACAAGCTCTCTAATGTCTACGGGACCTTGTCAACATTGGTCCTTGCAGGTCCTTCACCTTCTGAAGTGCCTCGAAGGAGCCATCAGGGCCCCTGCCTCATCTTGGTTCGCTTGCCAACCAGGCCTTTACTCTTGAGAGCATGCACCTGGTGAGGCTGAAGCCTAATCGCTTTTACACACACACGCACCCCCCCACACACACCCCCCCACACAC